ATGGCGATAGCGACGGAGATGAAGATGACGATAACGATGACGCTGTCGACATTACTTGTAAATGGAAGCCGAACTCATCGACCCCTCCAGAGCCACGGCGTTTGCGCTATATAGTACATACATCGACAATATTCTTCCGGTGTCTGTTTTTAATTACGCCACGAATATATTAAATTGTGTGTACAACTTATTTTGGTCCTACACACATATTCTAGAATAGCTATACAAGAACCAAAAACTGTTGCGTGATTGTAATTGCAAAAAATGTACTATATACTCGTTGTAAATCTTCTCAAAAAGAAGTTGTCAGGTTGATCGTGCGGTAAAAATGAAGTACCAAGTTTGGGTTAAATAATTACACCTAATTCTGTTCGTGTAAGTTTTGGTTTAACACGGTTCGAAAATTAATAATTTTATATACATATGGATAGAATCTACAATGTAAAAACAGAATTTGGTGTAATCATATGACGATGCCCGTTTGACCGCCTGTCTGTATGTCTGGACAGATAGGACCAGGTTCTAAGCAAAGGAATGGCATTTAATTTTCACTCAAATAAACACTTTAGTGCTGCAAGCAGGTCAATTGTATAATATAGCCGGATCGGAACACTATGTCCTCGGACACAGCCATTAAACAATTGGCTGATTTCGCAATGAACTATTTGTTTTTAAAACTATACTAACCACATGCTATATGGTGACATAGAGTAGAATGTAACAACACATACTTGAAAGGACTACTATATCAAGTAGCTTCCATCAAGCTGATCTAATTATTAGCAACTTTTCCCCACTCTCCCTTCATTTATAACACCTATTCAAAGGAAGTTTCGTCACGCGACGGTCGAATTGTTTGTGTCAGAAAGATTGTGGACATTGAACACGAAATTCTTAAGTATGTATACGACTTAGTTCTTTCGACGCAAAATCCGAATATTTGTGCATTTGCAGGTTGTTTATCTTTCGGTACAAATTGATTTGCCACTAAGCGGACGCCACTATTTAGTTTCTTGCATCGTCAAATACATACATGTAAGTGTGTATGTGTGTGTATGTGTGTATATGTGTACATGTGTGTGTTGTATGTGGTTCCAACCGGCATTCGCAGTGTAAATGAAAACAATTTCCAAGCATTGCTTGATTAGCGGTATGCTGTGAAGGAGGCTATATAGAATGCAATTAATATCGAAGTTAACTCAAAACTTTCGAACGCAGTTAGTAGCAACAGCGCAACAGGAGTTTACCTTTTTTCTAGGTAGAAACAAGAATCAAGAATGCTAGCCAACCATTCTTAAATACCCTGTACCCACAGCCACAAGAAAGAATTCATTAAAAATGAGTGTGTAAGTGCGTGTATGTGTGCAGGGCAGAATCAACATCTGTGAACAGAGTATGGGCAGAGATTACAGTTATGGCTATAACTTTCCTCATATTCGACCTATCATTACTTGTATACAACTTGGCATATGGACACATAATCACTAGTAAAGTACTTACCAAGTTTTAACTCGAAATTCTAAGAATTAGGGGAGTTATGAAAAATCACTTATAGCGGGGGAGTGGGAGGTACATCAGAAAAAACAAACAGACTTTACATTCTGAGATCCTTGCGTTCATACAGACAGATGGACAGACGGGCATATTCAAATCGACTCGTCTTTTCATACTGATCAAGAATATATATACTTTGTGGGGTCTGCCACGCCTCCTTCTGTGTGTTACACACAAAACTAAGATACCCTTTTACTCAGGGTATAAAAACTATTGGATATGCTATATATAAATGCATAGGAATGGTCAAGTCAGCAAATTTTCGGGAACACACAGTGTATGCAAATAAAAAAAATTACTTATTTATTCATTTAATTGACAAATATCTGTCAATATTATAACATAAAAACATACGAGATACACATTTAGATATTAAAAAGAAAGGAGAAGAAAAGGAAAGAAGTGCAAATAAATGAATATTCCTTTGGCCTACAAAAGATTGAACTTTAAGCAAAGCGTTCTCGTGCTGATTTGTTTTCTGTAATCTGATGAAATCTTCAGATCGATATAGCCTTAAACTATATAGTTTTATTATCTGTTTTCTGTCCTGTATGTATTTTTGTTACAACATGATGATTGTTACAATTATTATTAATACAAATATTATTAACTAGTTGAACGTTTGAGTTCCAGTTCCAGGCTACCGTGCGGCGCCCAAGAAAAATGCTTTTAGATAATAGGAATGAAATCAATTGCATACCAAAAGGGGCACACACATACACACGCACACACTGAAACGGAATGCGGAAGTCATGATAGAAATTAGGCGGGCTTATTAAAAGGGCGTAAGCGGTCGGGCTGGTTTCCTGCTCCAAATGAGCTCGTCCAGCATGCCACCATGAGCTCTGAGCCATTTCAGAAAGCTGCTAAAATGGAGAAACTTGCGAATGAAAAAATGTCTGGAAAACTTTCTTGCGCGATTTTCTATAATTTGCAGCGTCCTTGCGCCCTTGCACAGGATGGGTGTCTGATAGCGAGCACAGCATAATAATAATAGACGCCATGCTTTTAGTTTTTAATCGAAGGCTTATTGAAATGTGCGCACATCGACATTTTGTTCAGTTGGCGAGTAAATGAAATATGCAAGTAGGCAGGAGTGGGGACTACTGTTCTGTACTGTTCATAAAGTTGCCTTCAACTTTGATCGCTGATGGGGTAACTTGGAGGTCGTTGGTCCGTTTTGGTCAAGGGCGCGTACGCTGGCCGATTAATTTTCAATTTAAAATTACATTTGTATTCCAACAATAGCAATGCCATAAATCGGCATACTTGTAGTTGGCTGCGAACGCGGCTCCACGGCCAGCAGTGACGTTGTCGCTTCGTTGCTATCAAAATTGCTTAACGGCATTGGTTGAAGCGTGCGCGAGATAAACACGGAAAGTGTTGTTTTAGACCCAAAAGTATAAGTAAATACTGGCCGCCAAGACCAAGACTAGGACCAACACAAAGGCAAGGCAAAGACAAAGGAGCATGCAGAGGCTGGGACACTGCAAGACCGAAATTGAAAACTTGGTATTGACTGGACGCCCTTTTGTTTCCTTCCACGGCCATAGTGGAACAAACAGTACAGGTACACAAATGGCCAATGTACTCCTCGTACGCCTGCTGCGCGTCTATTCATTGGTGCATCTGACGCCGATGGTCCTCCTTCCTGTTCCGGTGCTGTCGTTTTTGTTGTGGCTACCACCATTGGTGCTTTATAGCGCTTGTCAGCGTGCTCCTAAAGTGCTCAAAGCCATCAGAATTGTTCCAGGATGTTCGTACCTCTGTTTGTCTAAACTTCTATCTATGACGCAAATTTACAAAGCCAATGAAAACACTCCCAACAACAGCAATAACCACAGGCGCAATACTCGTGCATGGCAACGCAACCTCTCCTATCCTCAGCTTGTTGCTTTGGCGATGACAAGCCACAAAGGGAACGGCCGGAACGGGCAGACGCAGTGGCGCAGGAATAGTGTTCCGCGCGCAGCTAGCTACCTAAAGCCCTCAATCAACTTTAAGATGGAGTCAAAAAAAAAAACATAAAACAAATGGCTGTTGAGAAAGAGTTGAAAAAGTGCTGGAAGTGTACTAAGAACAGGCACACGCACACGCACACACCCGCTTCAAATAGTACGTACTAAGCAGTATACATACTTGTAATCATTGTGTTCATGAATAGGTTTTAATATTAATGATAAAAACTGAATTTCGTACCCCATATACTTGTATTTCACTCGGACACATATTTTTATACCCCATACGGGAATATGCTACAGTGGAGCAAGCCCGACAGTGAAATACTCTGTACCCAAACAATCTTCCTAGCAGAATAATAACTTTTCTTACCTGAAACTTAAGACATGTACGTTTCTGCAGCTAAGCCATTGGAATAATGTATTCTCATTGGAGTTTTATGACATGCGTATAAACGAATATAATAATAGCAATATGGTTTATTGTGTGTCCCGTTCCAAATAGTTACATACAAGTATGTAAGCAACTGATATTGAGAGCTATTCTATAATCAAGAACGGAAAAATGCAGGAATTGACATCGCTTTACAGAAAGAGTTTTCCTATTATAAATAGTTCAAGAAAACGATACGGAATTGCTAACAACATTGAATTGGGTTTGTGTTGGTGAAAATACAAGTATATAAGTATGTAGGTATTCATGGTTATAGCTTACTTAAGAATTATCCCATGAAGATGAGACTGGACATAAGAATAACTTTCTAAGTTGCGGGCCTCAATGGAGTGGTTCGGTTCGAAGACTCATGTGCTTGTTAAACACACATACACACACGCACTAGCACTAGTGTAGTGCCGTTTAGTACAGGTCATTAAGAAGGAGAGGGAACATTTTATCTTTATAAATCTTTCTCAAGCTGTACGCGCAAGGTCTAATATAAATCTCTATTTATCACATAATCGATGAGGATGCGGATGCGCAAGCTAAAGTTAAAGTTTATTCGACAATACTATAGTTGGCGGAAAAGTAGGTGCATTTCCAATTTATGGGTCGACCTTCTGAGTGGGTGACAACAGGGCCAGTGGATCGAATGAAAGGTTAAGCGCACCCGACTGGACGACACATTACGATGGTCCTGTTAAAGCCACAGTCATAACTTTTAATATGAGTTGACCCTGTGCACAGTTACGTGCCGCACACACACACACACACACACACTGCCGCTGAAATTAGTGAGTGTGTGCGTGTGCATGTGTGTGGGTGAGGGGGAGGGGGATCCTTCATGGGTGGATGTTCGTGCATGTTGCATGCAACTGCTAGCCGTGCCCAAAAGACGGGCGAGTAAGTGGCGCTCTTTTTTATATACTCTATGTATATAGTATGTACGAGTATTTTTTTTGTACGAGCACTCGCACCACATGCAAGTATGTATGTGTGTATATATGCGTGTGTATTAAATGCAGTGCACTTGAAACGAAATGTCAACTTACCACATCATGTGCGGAACGGGCGGCTGCAGGTGACAAAGCTGGGCCACAAAGCGGACATCAAAAGGTTGCAGGGACAGCTTGCTTCTACTGCGGCTCACAAAATGCGTTTTGTTGTTGTTGTTGTCGTTGTCGCTGTCGCTGTTTTTTCATTTCCCATCACGCTTGTTGCTTATGTTCTCGCTATCCCCGTTGGCACTGCCTTCGCGCTTTCACGCACACACACACACACACACACGCAGTTACATAAATAGTACGAGTACGAGTATGTCTGGATACATATGTTTTTATGTGCACACGCACCTATAGTATTTAAATTTGCGACAGCTCTTAAGCGTTAGCGATGCCGTTGTGTTCTTCTGGTCTTTTGGTCTTTCGGCCTTTCGGTCTTTTTGGCAGTTGTTGCAGTCGTTGATTGTTGTTCTTGTTGTTCTTGTTGTTCTCGTTGCTTTGTATTTGCGGTATGCTAATTGCTGCTCCTTGCGAAAGTTGCAGTGGCAGTTCACATTCCAGCTAGCATGTAGTTGTGGCGCTTCTGGTTCTTCTCATTGTTGGCAGTGGTAGGTGGTATGGCTTGGTTTGGCTAACTTCAATTCAACTCTCGTCTAAGAAGCAGAAGCTTCCTCATATCCGTGACGGCTACTTGTTGTTCAATCTAGGATTCGTCAGTGTTCAGCATCATTAGCGTCGTCAAAGCCGTTGATGTTTCTGTTCCTAATTGCTATCCAAACAGCCGTACTTACATATAAGCGGATCCAACGTGAATCATTCATTCACCCATTCATTCCTTCGCTCATTCAGCCAGCTAGTTAGTCAGTAAGTCGGACATGCAATAACGCAAGTCATACATTTATTTAATTGCTCGTGCTTCTGCCAATCCGCTTGCAAGCGATTTATTGCTTGCTTTCGGACGTAAAAACATTCAAATTCGCACATCAACGGACTCAAATATTTGAATACTAACAAATAGAGAGATAGACGGACGAATGGACGGACAGACAGATGCACACTGAAAAACGTAGGCCTGCACATGAACCCAATATGGTTGGCACTATTTTTTGGCTTAGCACACACAAAACAGAGTCAACAAACAAAATTCACAAAAGCGGGACCAATTTAAAAAAATTCATATTCTCCTGCACTTACACGCAATCACAATCACAATCAAACTCACGCGGACACTGAATAACTCTTAACATCCACACACACACACACACTCACACACACGCACGCACCCTCACACACACACACAATTCGCATTCAAACGCACGCTTATTCGCAGCGTGCTGTGAACATCAAAAGCCACTTTGTAATTCTTTTGCACTGCTGCCACACTCAAAAAAATATATATTTATTTATTTACATATAAAGCCAAAAAAAAAAAACAACAAAAAATTTGCACAGTTTTACAAAGAAATTACAAAAACGATAAATCCCCCGCACTCTCAAACAAATTGTCGAATTTAAACGCGTTCGAAACTGTTAAATTCGCCACATTTTTGTTTTTGGTCCTTTTTCTGTTGGTTGGTTGGTTGGTTGTTTGTTGTTACTGTTACTGTTGTTACTGCTACTGCTACGGCTGATGTTGTTGCGACTGCTGCTTTACCTGCTGTACTGTTTGGTTCTGACTGGTTCTGTGGCACTTCCGTGCCGTTCAAGCGCTCACTTGCAACTGATTCGTGGGCGACAAGCGTGGCTTTCTTATCAAGTTGTCGCTTACAGCGGGCGCTTTCAATGCGGCGCTTTCAATGCGCCACTTTCAATGCGGCGCTTTCAATGCGCCACTTTCAATCGGCAGCGAGCAAAATTTCCCTGCTGTTAAACTGCTTAAAGCTGTTAGGGAAATGAGCTGTTCGCTGTTCGCTGTTGTTTACCAATCTTCAGCCGACAACTGACTTCTGCTAATCGGTCTATACCGACTAACTAATTTATCTAACAACGCTGCTAGTTTTCCCCCTGGATTCGCTCTGGATGTCTCTCCTTGATGATGTGTTGGCCCCGGACCTCGGATTCCCGTGACCAATTAGGAACGTGTGCGTGTAGTGCCTTTTATGAGGTGCAACCAAAGCCACCTCCTCCTCCTCCCCTCGGACCCACTGCTCGTCCACCTCGGAGCCTGTTTGTGGCCATAAGCTGCCAGCAGCCGAAAACGGACGCGAAAGCGACTGCGAATGCGAAATGTTCTGAGCCCTTAACAGTAATCAAGATTGCAAGTGTAAGCAGCACATAAAATAAAAACAAGTACCGCCAACTATAAATACAAATGCACTCACACACACACACATGGGACTTGAGCTGCATCGGTGTTACACACATATTTATAACGGTGTTAACAGACGACACTTAACAGTAGTGGCGTTTCTTAATAATTCACACACCACGGCAGTATTTGTGGGCAATAGTGATGAGCAAGCTGCCACTGCAAAGATTTAAACAACTACGCTAATTTTATAATCGTTTATTAAGACTTATTTAAGTTGAATGACTTTGAGAGGGAGGACGGGAACAGGGTACACAATATTTACATATTATATATTTATATCACTGGGCTGGAATAAGGACTTCGTTTCTTCGCCCCGTGCGCCACAATAAAGATGTACAAGTATACATATAAAAAAGGGTACACAAGAGTCGGTATCGCGCTACTGTTTTGCCATCACCAAAATATGAAGGTGTTTTTGTATACCCTGTAACCACCGCGTAAAAAGGCACACTAGTTCAATGCGAATGTATGTAATGTGTAAGCAGATTGCTATATATTCTTCATCAGTATGACAAGCCGAGGCGATATGGCCGTCTAAGTCAATGTTTGTTGACATAAATAAATAAATAAATAAGAAGATAAATAAGAAGATCTAAGAAAGTATAGGCGCTGGAATAACCAAGCTTGGTATCCAGACTCTTCCGAGTCCGAGAAAGGACAAGTTGATGATTTCTTCTCCACCGCTATTAGGGATCCATAACTGCCGTACTTGTTGGAATTTTTCACTCAATTTGGCAATTACCTCGCGTTATAGCTATAAGTGCCACCTCTGCCAAAACCAAAACCTGCACAATTGCACACACACAGACACAGACACACATAGACACAATAATGTACTCTTTTTCTTAAACTGTGTTATTTAACTAATTTAATTTTTTGTAATATGAATCTAAGAAATATTAAAAGAGATATATTTCGTTTTTGTAGGTTCTTATATTTCTTATATTTCGTTGAAGTACGTTTTGTGAATAAACAAAGTACGGTTGGCCCTTAGGTCGGCCTAAACAGAATGGTTGTCAGATGGATGGTTGGAGAGCTGGACTTGCGCATGTCTTTGAATGCACATCCCAGTTGCGACTGTCGCTCACTAGCTACTTGCCGCCTGTCTGCTGCCACCTGCTGTTGCCTACATCCTGGCCCTCTGCTGGTGCATTCGTTAGTGCAACTTGTGAGCTGGGCTGAGCTGCAACTTGGCTGCGACTAAGCAGCACTTGAACAACCACAAAAACAAAAACAAAAACGGCAGCGCCAGCGACAGCGGTAATGGCTGAAGAGCCTCTCAGGCGGCACCGCTGATGACGACGTCGAACTCACTTGAGAACTATTTCAATAAGCATTTTGTCCTTCACCCTGTTTTCTCGACATTGTCGTTGCCCTCGTCCTTTTTTATTTTTCCCCTTGACTGCCATGGCTCCAAAGATTATTTCACACCCCTTTCTATGTTCGCTTTCAAATTATTCGATTTCTTGTATTTTGAATATCGCGGCTCTGCCACAAACCGTCATATAAATATATACATGACAGACATTTTAGTATTTTAGTGACTTTTTTGAATAAAAGTCATATAAATCACAACGGGTGGTACGCCAATAAAGTGACAAAAACCAGACCTAACTTGGCTTTTGAGAGGAACATGAAATGATTGAACACTTCTCCCACATTCCCATTGAAATCTTCACTGAGATATTTCTGCATGTTGCAAGGCCTGATTAAATCAAAATCAAAATCAAAATCGAGTCGGGTCGCATGCTCCACTGAATAAGTCTCCGTTTAGCTATTTAATTGGTGGCAGTGGAGAAATGGCGCTCACACTGCTGCCCGCAAAGGACCAAACAACAACTTCACAGAAGCACACCAACCTAAGACGTAACCAACAAAGATGACTACAGCTGGGAATTCGACTTTTATGGTTTCTTGGTTTATGCATAAATATGAAGCTGCTCAGGCCTTGTCTAAGAATTAGTTGAATTCGAAATAATTATCTATCACAGAGAGATCATGTCTTTACTTGGGCTCCCAATAAATATTGTACAAGCACATGAACTAATGTGTTTTGTTAATGACACGCCTAAGCTATTTCTCAGGTTGATTGACAAATAAATACACAAATACACTAGCTCCAAAGCAGATGTACATCTTCTTAAACAATTTACAATATTCCCCAGCTTTAAGAATTGAGATTTAATTGAGATTTTAAAACACACAGCTAAGAAGAATTCATGAGAGTCAAGCATTTAATTGTTGGAGGAAATTGAAAATGTGGACTAATTTCTGTAGCTTTGCAACTTCAGAGCGTTGCAGAAGTTCTGGAGTGGAGGTAGGTTGGAAACAATCTTAAAGAGCCCTAAAGAAATAAACAGACTGCATAAATCAATGGACTTTTTTTTTTTGCTATACTGAAGATGATTTCATTTCTGATAATTATGAATAAGCAGAAGAGTATTTTTTATCAGCACACATTCACGTTTGCAACTAATTTTTCGGCCATATGGGGACCATCCGTTTCCATCTCTGCTTTATAGAACTAGGGGAGAACGATTTATCGAAACAGGCAGCCAAAGGGAAGGAAGGGAAGGAAGGGGAGGATATTGTGATTTAAATTTGTCGTGTCATTGTCTTATCATTTATGCACCCATATCGTGTGTTGAACCACCTCCCTTTCCCTTTCCCTTGTGGGTGCTACAAACTTACACAACAACGGCAATATACCGTCACACTTCTCAGTGAAGGGCATGAGAAAGGTGAAAACGGTAGAAAGTTCGATTTTGTGCGATAGAGCGCCCAAATCCAGCTGAAAGCCAATCGTATTTTTTGTATTTTGACTTCCGCGGCTGTCTACTCGTGCACTGAGATCTCGCGTTCTCCGCCACGACAGCCAGTATTTTTTAGTAAGTA